GTATTTGTGCAACAACTCGCTCTAAAATGAATTTATCGCGGAGTTCGCGATCCTTGCACGTAATCACGCGCGATGCAATCGAGTAGAATCTTAATTTCGAATATGTAGAGTAGCCATTCTATTCAGGGCAAAGTAACAAGTACACTTTGAAAATAGCAGAATCACGATTTATATTTTGCAAGGGTTTCAAAGATAGCAAATACGCGAGTGATCGATGTCGGTTCAATGCGCCAGGGTGGCTTGGCCATTAGTCATCCGCACCCTCCCCCTCGCGCAACCCACAATTAATTATTATCCTGATAAATGTCACACACTACGTGTTTCGACAATAAATCGTTAGACCGGTGATGCGCGGCGCTCTACCGCCGAGGTGTATACCCAATCGGGCAGGTGTCATGTAATTTGATGATCGGTTAATGCTTAAGGTTAACAGTCGACTGCACAGGGCAATCACGTGCGACAGACATTCAAAAATCAAACGCCAGTTTCACGAATGATATAATATATTTTAATATCCGTTGCCACCGTTTGCATTTAACGCACGCAAAATATGAGTAATCTCGAGCGTCGAGAACATTTCAGAAAAAGTTTTCCGCGGGAAGGATAATAAAGTTATTCTTTTATACTCTACTAGTATAAAAGACAATAATAAAACGATTTTATAAGTTCGACGTCGTTACATCTTGGACATATAAATGTCTATCTTCGATAGCATTGAAAAACCTGGCAAAATGAGATATAAACTCCCTCTTGATATCGTAAACTGACGGTACGTTTATCAAAATATATGGAAAACACATGAACTTTCCCCGATAATTGATTTCTCGGTTCATCGTTACAGCAAATTATTATTAATGAAACCAATATTGTTTAGAAAATATACAGAGTGTGTCAAGTTTTAACGATCAAACTACGTCAGTATATTCTGTGGATAAAATTTAAAAAAAATTACAGGTCCATAGAAGTTTTATTAAAAAGTTACGATTTAAAAAAAGCATAAAAATCAGTAGCACAAGATTTGCGTCATGAAGGATCGCCAAGAGATTACGCCAACCATTCAATTGTATCTACATGTTCTTGACATGTTCGTTAGGAAAATTAACAATATTTGCTCTGTAAACGTTGCTTGATCAATTCGTAGTTTAATTAAAACCTAAAGATCCTATAACGCAATGCAAATTTCAGAGCAAAGCGGTTAATCGCTAAACTACCTCAAGCTAGATATGGTTCACCCATATTTACATATGCAGCTCGTACTTTGTTTTCGTTTAGAGACTGTTGTAAACGCTGGCCTGCTTACATCTGCACGAAAATAAACAAGTCCCCTATCAACACCAGTCTAGTCCTTCAAGGAAGTTCCCAGGGGACTATTCGAGAAACTTTGTTCCCGACCAACAACGCTTCCCAGGTGCGTCACCAAGGGACGAGAGTGCTAGTCGAGAAGTCAGACGCGAGAGAGAGAGAGAGAGAGAGGGAGGAACGAGAAACAATAATATTACTTGACAAAGAACAAGAAAAATTACGAGGTAAAGGAGAGGTTCCGCACGTCGTAGGACCACAAACGCGCTTCAATTCGCAGAGATAATATTTACTCCCCACCATCGAGAGGTAATGCAACGGCAAAATCGATATTTGTGCAAATTAGCTTATTGTTAAGTCGACATAAATTTTCAAGAGAGCACGAAAGTTAAGAGTTTATATAACGTCTCGCGACACTTTTCACCGTAAGAAAGTGGAGAGAGACGACCTAGTTAAATTGTAAAAGAAATTTTTCTAGTAAAGTTTGAACGTCGTATGTGCGCATCTTACACTTCTTCGGAAGTCCTATAAATTCAAAAGCTTTACTTCGACTTGAAATCGCTCGCTTTCAACTGCGCCTTCTGTTCAAGAAGAATAGAAGGCGAGATTGTATCAACGGGGTAATAAGCAAATCCGTAATCAATGCAGAGTTAAAGTGTTAAAATCCTCCGGGACTTCACTGACAAATTTCATGGCTTCTCGATGGCTTCGAAACGCGCAATTCTCGGAGTGAAAAGTACAGTAGAACCACACCCGATGTGGCGGATGGGGAACAAAACGATACACGGCGAATGTACGAGGGATAATACATATATGGTCGCGCATTTGTGGGCAGGCACCGATATCATCCGTGATGGATGTTTGAATCCCCCTTACTGAAAATAAATTTCGACAACTGATCGCTTGTAGCACGTTATGTATAATTTCAACTTTAGAAAGTGTACCTTGATCTTGGACATGCATTTTTGCATAACTATACATCATATACAATCGTACGATCTTTAACAAAAGGCTGTTATCAATAATTGTGTGTTAGAATACTCATCATACGTACGATTTGTTTTTCTTAAGACAACTTTAAAAGGAACAAGTTAACAAAGGACTTTCTCGATAATGAAATTAACGAAGTGGAATTAAAAAATGGGCATTGAGAGTACAATGCGTGTTGGTGCACGAGTTATCAGGTTAATCATATTTAATTATAATTAGAGAGTTTAACAATCGCTTTGTACTCTCAATGTCAATTTTTAACTATGATTTTAAAACTTTGGATTTTTTTAAGTAATCAAAGAGTTGGTCGTAATTAAAAGTTACGAGATAGCCGCGTTTAATGATAAATTAATATTTATATCTAGGATTGGTGACATAAATTCTCAAATACGCGTATTAATTTAGAAATATTTTAGTACTTGATCACTTATAAAATTTCGTTTTATATTGCACTTGTAATGCACATTTATATTACAATACATATAAAGTGTATTGATTTACAGACGCGTTAACATTGTCCCCTACTTTTTTGGCCGATTAATCTGTAAATGTTACGAGATTTAAAGTTGAACTCTTTTAATGAAAACTTCTTAGGAAATGCATTTAATCTTTAAAGCGGAGCATTTTAATGAATAAATCCTAAATTAAAGTGAAATTTAGTTGAAATGAAATTATAATAAAAAAGAGTTTTTGTCTTATCTCATAATTTCATTACGTATTTAAATTCTTGAAACTGAATTAGCTTAAATAACATTCTACTTTATTATTATAAATGCTAAATATAGCGTCAAATAAATCGGCTTATTTAAATTACATTTAGATATGGTAAATTTGAAAAAATACTGTTAAAATCTCCAAAAATTATACATTCATATGTAAATTTTTCTACATGACAGAATTGTAAAATAGTAAAATTATCGCGAGATATGATATTACGTTCCTGTCGTATAAAATCCACAAAAAATGAGTTGTTTTTCTAATTACGTTTTCTTAGTATCACAAATATATCTAGATTATCTAGAGGAATAAATACATTTGACTAATTCCATGCGCGACAATTTTTCTATATTTCTTTAATCTTCAATAGCGCGATTAAAGAAAATATATCTATTTTCAAGCGACGTTCGTTTTATGAAACTAACCAATAAATGGACACACAGAAAATCTGTTATAAATCTTCAATTCTGACACAATAACGAAGGAGTACCAACGATAAATAAATCTCCAGTACAGAGTGCTTGGAGAGATTTAAATACTCTGTAGTCTTCGCCAAAGTTTTTCGATCTATCGTGTCTTTGCTCAAACCGGGGAAAATGAAGGAAAATTCGAAAGAGGATCAACAAAAACCCCTGATACATGTTAAGAGATAGGGAAATAAAAGGGATACGAGTTTTAATGAACTCGCTGGCAAAACAAGACTAATGAATTTCACATTAATCATATTAATTAAGTACGACACGTATATTATTAATACGCGGATACTTTTATTTGCAGTGCGCGGTGCAAAAGATGTCCGCGACAAACAAAAGAAAAGCAGACGAACGACTCATTTTACCATAAGCTTAATTAAAATACGAATAAGCGAACTGTGATCCACGTAGAAGAGTGTGTACACACGTTTCGATTAAATTTGCATGCAAATATCCCGCTGCCTTAACGAAGTGAATTCAGCACATTGGATTTTTTTTCTTCGCGCATATTATAAACGGCCATCAGCAATTTCTCTCGTTATCCGCGTCATGATCGGGACAAAAAACACGCGCGATAGTTCTCACCAGTGCAATCTGCACAAATCGTAGATGTGGACATTGCGTGTGATCACTTTTGACCATAAAAAATGCCTAATTAGGAAAAATGTCGAGATAATAGCAGCGGCTTTTTTTTATTAAAAACCGTTGGAAATCAAAGCTCCCTATGGTACACCTATATGATGCGGACAAATAACAAAACCTCATTTTATTCCTCTTATTTTCCGCGTATTTTATCTCAACATAGAATTTTCATTTCATGCATAGTTATCGAACTATTTCATGCGAAAAATTGTATTCTGGGAAATAATATCCGATCCAATTTTTACCAAAGAAAAATTTAACTTTACCAAGGAATTCGCCCAGTCAACGGGAGGGGTTTATACAATAAGACGTCAAATATCCGGGCGAGCTGAAGTAATATACTTGTTATCGATTATTTACACACAAAATTCTCGAAAAAAGACAAACAAGCGCCAAATATTAAGAAAGACTGTAACAAGAAAATATAAACAATATAAATGTAATAGCAACGTCTTCAATGTAAATTGAGATTTCTGTTCATATGTACGTCGGACCATCGCGACCAAGGATAATCAACTTTTTAAAGTGGCCGAATAATCGATACTGTACTTAGAACGCTAAGATAAAATTCGCCCTAAAAGCGAAACGTTATGCCGCCGCGCATGCCGGAAATTGAGATCTTATTGTTAGCAAGTATAACTTGTCTTACACACAAAGCACCGTTTTCGTTTGTTCGAAGACATTTTTCAATTTCCAATTTACAGAGAGTGAACTCGGCGCAACACGTAACACGTCGGTCTTACGTGCGCCAATTTAGCGATTTGCGTGCTTCGACCCCGGACAGTTTACCGCAACAAATTTAATGCACGTAAAGCAACGGTTTTACGTGCCGTGTTTCCAAGGGTGGGAAAAAAGGGATGAATTCTCTCGCGTACTCACCCGCGCCAATGCCACCGCCGGGAACTTCTCCCACGCGAGCTGCGTCTCCTCGCCCGGACTCCCGTGACGCTGACCCGCGAGGATCCTCGCCGCCGTCAGGGTGCTCATCCCCATGCCGTCGCCGACGAAGAGGACGACGCCGCGCGCCACCCCGGCCGGCGGCGTCGTGCCGCTGACGCTGTTACTCGCTGCGTCCCTGATCCGCGTCTCGATAGCCCGCGTCGCAGCTTCATACCAGGCTTCCCTCTCTGTGAACAAACAGGTCCCGATATATATATCACGCGCGAGCGATGTAATCGGATAGGCGACATTGTCACAATTGCGAGATGAAACATCGCCGTGGGTCGTACGTAACGGGATTCGAGTCTCATTGTCAGAAAAGGCGGGTCAACAGTTTGTATTTACGCAGAGTCGTCCCCCCCCCCAATACGTAAACTAAAATTATATCCGAGATGATGCCGCCTGGTTTCCCCCCCTCTCTCTCTCTCTCTCTCTCTCTCTCTCTCTCTCTCTCTCTCTCTCTCTCTCTCGTTCTTCCCTTTTCTCTCCCCTTCTTCCTCTCCACTTTCCCTATATATCTCTTCACTCCTCTACCCCCATTGTTTTTACCGCGCAAAAGCGTGCAAAAGTAAACGTTGTTCGTTTTTCTTTTTAGAAGTCTTTTCCATCGCGAAATGGACGACATATTAGGATTACTTATAATCACTGAAAATAAATATAAATTTTGTAATTTTAGAATCGTGAAATTAATTTACGATGCATTTTGTAATTGCC